TGAATACATTTATATAGATGACTCATTAAATTTGGGTGTGTTCACTGGAGAACACCTCTGAAAAATTAGAACATAATTTGATCAGGTAGTAGTCTTCCTCAGGATGCTCTAAGTATGATTAATCAGCAACTCGTATTTTCCATTCTTCTGATCTTAAGTTGATCCTCTTAGAATAATGATTTTAAATTAAAGGGGGATAGCTCAAGGGGAAAAATAAATATACAAGTATGTTCCATTTCTTGAAAATTTGCGTTACACCACTTTGCTCTTACGAAAGACCTACATTAATACCTGGTTTTGCTAACAAAGAAATCTGAAGAGGATTTTCACTTTTAGGGAAAAAAAGGGAAAATTGCATTTAGCATTTGTTTTGCAGAGAGCTGTTAAAAGAGGTGGCACGCACCCCAACACAGTAGCTTTGAACTATGTCTGAGAGCATCTGTACTTTATTTATCTTGATTTATTTTGTGCCCTAAGCTATCCGAAAAGGCTAAGAGGGGTTAATTTTGGAGTCTGGAAATACTCAAAATTTTCTCCTTGTAAATTAATGGCAGTTGCTTTTTTGCTTCACACCATTTTGGCTAATGAAAGGTTTCATAGGAAGGCTCTACTTTCAGAGAGTGGGGGAAACCTGTACATGGTCTGACGCTCCTATAGAAGGAGTGGGAATCTCAGTCAGGTTTTTCAGCTAAGTCCGTGATGCTTTGCCAAGCTCACTGGAATTAAAACCTGTACTCGTACTCCCCAGAATTGTTAGTCTCTTCAGTAACAAGATGGGACTTAATTTTTTATGGTCTCAATAAAACATTCAAGTAATTACATAGTTCCATTCACACATAGCCATTTTCCAAATGGCAAGATGTATCACAAAGTGAGTAACAGCGATTCTGGGAAGAACAGGATTAGTTGCCTCATCTCAAGGAATGAAGGTCCTGGAGAACAATACTTGTCAGAGGTCCGCCTTCCTCTGGTATCCTTAGGTCAGTTTCACATGTAACTGATCCTACCTCAGTTCATCCATGTTCCCTGGATTTGCTCTGTACGGAAGGTTTAGATTTATTCACATTGATCTCATCCTGTTTTCATCTCTAGGTTTGTTTTGAAAAGAGTTTCCTTCCTCTTTCTCCTCTTCTTGTTCCTGCTCCTTCTCTTTGCTGTCCTTTGATACCCAGTGCTGGAGTCCCAGATACACTCTCAGTTTCCCAACAAGCCTAGGTGGCAGTTTCCAACTCAGGATTTGCTTCACGATCCTTGGGGGGAACTTGTAAACACTACAGATGTCAGATTTTACTTAGCCTGATTGGAATCTTTCTAGCTACAAAAAGTAGGAGGGAAGAATAGCCAGAAACTGTTCATTCATTTGTTCATTTGTTCATTCATTCAGCAATTTTTGAATGGAACATGTGCAGCGTGCCTGGCTGTGTACTAGATGCTGAAGATCCAGATATAAATAGAAATGAGTTTTGCCTTTAAGGGATTTATAGTCTGGTGGGAAGTAAGTGGGAAAGCTGAATGGGTAAAGAAAGGTGCTAAGGCCCAAAAGGAGAATTTAATTCGGCTTGTGAGACTTGAAGAAGATAGTCGGGTTTAGGAGTTTCCTGGGCAGAGAAAGACATTCAAAGTAGAACTAGGTTATGCAAAGGTATGGAGATGTGAGAGAGGTTAGCAAGTCCTGGGAACTGCATGTAGTTCCTCATGTGTGTATGAGAAAACAAGAAGTAAAAGCTGTAAGTGGTAAAGGAATAACAGAAGAAAATTTCCCAGCATTAAAAGACATGAGTTCACTGAGTACAGGCTGAGAGAGTTCACTGAATGTCCTACCAGTGAATGAAAAAGACTCACTCCTAAACATGTGCCGTTAATTTCAGGCTTCTGGAAATGAATACAGGGTCCTAAAAGCTTTCAGGGAAGAAGTAATAGTATAAAAAGGATTAGTTAGCAGAGCAGTATCAGGCTGCTTTACAGCCACATTAGAAACTAGAAGACTACGAAGTAATACTTCTGAAATTATAAGGAACACTGTTTGCCAGCTGGAATTGCAAACCCAGGTAGGCTACCAATGAAGACATTTAAAGACACAGATTCTCAAAAAAATTGCATTCTGAGTACTCTATTTAAAGTTGCTAATGGGAGATGTACACTGTTAAAACAAGGGAATAAACCAAGAAAGAGAAACCAGGGGATTCAGGGACGGGGGTTCTCACAGAGAAGGTGAAGGAAATTTTGGGATGATGGTGAAGGGAAGTTCCAGTCCAAGTCAGGCCTATATATATAGCAACCATCCAGCCAGATTGAATCAAGATGAAGAGTACAAGAGGAATGTCTCTAAGAAAACAATAGAGCACTCTCCCCCAAATTACCTGATGTGTTCACTTTATTAGAGGAGTTTTGCAGCTTGGGAGAGTTTGATGAGGTACATAAGTGCTAAGAATATAAAAAGCAAAGCAAACAACAAAAACGGAGCAACTAATAATTCTAAGAGAAACAAAAAGTTATCCAAGAAAGGAAAAATCATTGAATCCTACATAGCAGTTCTGGGACTATTTCATTTGTCTACAGTAGTCAGACTACTGACTATTGGTTTAACTAAATGTTACAATATATTTGGAAGCTGGGAGGATTGGGCAAGTGTGACGTATTTCTGTGCAAGAAGTAAAGGGGGTATATGAAAACTAAATTCTCTTCCATAGGGGGAAGTTAATAGGTAATATCTGAAATGGAACAAACAAGAAATAGCAATATGAACACATTTTGTAGAAATATGGAGGTAAATAGCAGAAGAAAATGCTAAAGGAGTTAAAATTAGTTTCCTCTGGAGAGAGAATTGGGTGTGGGGAGGGGTGGAGTTGGGAGAGTTCTATTTTTTATTATAAGCTTTGTAGTCCTATTTTATTTTTATACTTTGATAAAATGATAACAATATAGACCTAGCATCAGTAACACTGAGGGAATCTTGCAAGTGGTGCTTTGCATTTCGTTGAACCAACTTTTTCGCTTGCATATTCTTTGTACCTACCTTTGGCACATTCCTAAATTTTATCCAAACTTTCTTCTTTTCTATAATTAACTGAATATGAATTGAAGCAAAAGTTAGTAAGGTAAATTGTTGACTCACATATGTGTATAGACTAAAGCTGGATGCAGTAGGTTTTTTTGCCCTGTATTTTTATGTCGACTGTAAGCTAACAATCCTTTCTCTTGCCTTCTCCCCAGAGCAGAGCAGAGTTTGACTTTGTGTAAGAAATCAGTAATCTTGGGGCATCTGGCTGGTTCCGTAGGCAGGGTATGTGACTCCTGATCTCGGGGTTGTGAGTTCAAGCCCCACATTAGGCATAGAGCTTACTTAAAAAAAAAAAAAAAAAAATCAGCATTCTTCAGTGACATGATGTTCCTAAAATGGGATTGCTAGTCAGCTGCACATTAGGATCTCTGAGCTGACCGTGTACATCACTCAGCAGAGCTTCAAGTTGTTTATGAAGAAACTTTGACTGTTTATATAGATACAAACTGCCCCCTCCACCTTTTTATTTTGAAAATAATCAAACCCCACAGAGAAATGGAAAGAGTAGTGAAACACTCCTATAACTTTTGCCTAGATTCACCAGTTCTTAACATTTTTGCCTCATTTGCTTCCTCTCTCTCTATACCCATGCACTGTTTTTAGAGGTTGAGGGGAGTTGAACCATTTTAAATGAAGTTGTAGGTATAATGCTTAAATATGTCTCCCAGTAGATCTCCCAAGAACAAAGACATTCTCCTACCAGACCAGAATACCATTATTATCCATGGATAAAATAATAGTATGTAATATATAGTTAGTATTCAGGTTTTCTTCAAATCCCAATAATACTTTCTGTAGATTTTTTTGATGCCAGTATCCAGTCAGTGGTCAGTCATTGCATTAAGTCATCATATTTATTTATGTCTCCTTAGGAAATTTTCCTGCTTTTTGTTTTTTTAAATCTTTCCTGACATTGACTGTTATGAGGACCCCAGGCCAGTTGTTTTGCATGCATATGGATTTGTCTTTTTGCTCCCTCATTGTGAGATTCTGGTTTACAATTTGGCGGGAACTTGTGTACAGACTTTTGTTATCTACTTGCTTTTTATGCAGGTTTAAAATTTTAGTCCATTGTTTTCTTGTTTGTATGTTTTTGTTTTGTTTTTCCTGCTAATCTGTGGTTTGGCATGGGGGTGTAAAGAATGACTACTTACCCTAATAGTAGTAAAACTCCTTAGACTGCAGAAAATATCACTGTAATAATCTCTGGGAGGGGTAATCTGTTCCTCTGGAGACAAACATAATATTTTTTTTTTTTAAACATTCTTGGCAGACTTCTTTGGATGACTTAATATATTGTAATCAAGGGCAAATTTTCTCCTCTTTAATTAAGTTCTGCTACAGTATACAGTCCAGGGAGCTACTTGTGGAAAACACTTGGCCAGCTTTCCTGTCATCCCTAAACGGAACATTTGCTCTCGGACTAGAAACCCTGAACGTGTGCTGAGTTTGCAGCATGGTGGCCCTCCTTGTGCCCATGCCCGGGAGCTTAGGTTATGTATATTTCGCCTGAAGTGAGCACAACTTGGAGAGCTGGCGTGCCTCGGATGCCGGCAGAGCTATGCAAGCGTGCTGCCGAAAGCGTGCCTCCCGCTTGTCAGGGCTTCGTGATAGACCTGGTGACACAGTAGCCTTTAGGCAGAGCTCCTGGGGATGTGCAAGAAGTGCCGCGACGGGTTTTGTCAGGGCGGAAATCTGAGCCATTTCTCTGTGGACAGCTGTGTTTCAAAGTCTGGACAAGTGGCTGTTGACTTTTGCCCAGGCTGCCAGGGTAAGGTTTTCACTTTGACTCGTTCATAGCCTCACTTTCCTTTCTCCTAAGTCATCTGGTTCTTTCTGGAAGTTTCACAGTACTTGTTACACATTATCAAAAGTGGGATTCAGAGGATTTGTTCTAACGTGTTTATAATCCAACTTTTCTTTTGCTTTCTCTCTGCAGATTTTGTGGGAGTCTAATACTTTGTCATTATGAGATGTCGTCTCTCGGTACCTCCTTTGTGCAAATTAAATTTGATGACTTGCAGTTTTTTGAAAACTGCGGTGGAGGAAGTTTTGGGAGTGTATATCGAGCCAGATGGATATCCCAGGACAAGGAGGTGGCTGTAAAGAAGCTGCTCAAAATAGAGAAAGAGGTAAGGTCTTTTTCTGCTGTCAGAAATGGTCGCGATTGCTCTTATGTAAGCTTTTCAACCGAGTTGGAGGGCACGGGCTGTCAGGGCCCTAGCAAGTGAGGCCTTTGGGGCTGATCCATGAGGCTGTTTCCCAGTTTCCATTCTGGGAGCCCCATAAATAGAAATCATTGCCACGTGTGCTTTAGGGTTGAGTTCTCCTAGGGGTCATCTGAACTGAGAGGATTTCTTTCCATGGCATGAAAGGCTCGAATGTTCTCTGAGCTCTCCTTGAGGGGAAGGTGAGCTTTCAGACCTTCCTAGGCTTCAGGCTTTGCTTTCCCCAGGTCAGCCGAGAGGGGTCAGTAGAGAGTAACGTGTGAACATTTTTATTCCCTTTCTATTTTGGGTTTCGTGAATTTGTGGCCATCAGGAACTGTCTTTTAAAAAATAAAAAGCGTTATTTTTCTACTGAAATATAAACAATACTAGATTCTTGGATTTCACCTCTACTGGAAGCCGAAAGTGGTGGACTTTGTTTAATAAAGAATTGACAGGTGCTAGACAAAGAGCTGCCCTATTTGTAATAGCAGAAAAGAGTCTGGCTCCTGAGTCCGGGACTTGTGCTGGTCCAGGAGGGAGCGCGGAACTCCTACCTAGGCCCTTCTTCCTTAGGAATATGACGCAGCTTGGTCCCCACGTTCAGTTTGAGACCTGGAGAATAAAGCTAATTGTGGAGCTGACCTGCAGGGGCTCAGTGCATTGATAGCTTTTAACAGCTACCCTCTGGAGCTTGTTTCGGTCATTTCTCTTTATGTCCTCTTTTGGCTAATTACTGTTTTTTTTCCCAGTGTCTTTTTAAAGGGAACTTTTCCATAAATATCTTTTAATCTTCCCTGAATGATTTCATTTTTTTTTTTTTTCCATTAACTGCTGTCAGTGAACCATAGCAATTGATTAGAGAAGGAGACCTGAATGGCAACACTTTGTGGCGTTTCCTCCCAGCAGTGCTGTGTGACTCTGTGGTCACCAGCTGGGTTTCCAATTGTTGAAGCCAGGTGAGAAGCACTAAGATCTTTCTGCCTTGGGGTAACCTATAGGTTGTGGAAAGCATTAAGGAGCGATAACTTTTAACGCCAGCGTGCACACAAAACAGAAGGGTGCTATGTAGAAAAAGTTTCCTCCCCCTTATTTCTTGATCAACACATTTGAAAATAGTAGCCACATAGTAAAACCATTCCTTACCCTGGATGGAACCTAGCTTCTTTTATCTAGTGAACACTACGTCCTTTACAGGCAAGCATTATTGTACCCATTTTATAGTTGGGGAAACAGAGATTTGAAAAATGTATTAAGGGCCCTCAGGAGGGGCAAGTAAAATCCAGGAGATCAGACCCCCTGTTCTGTAGTTTTTAACTCTGATATCTATAGTTGACCAGGTTAGATAGAAAATAAACCAGTTCCATCAAATTTATATTCAAAATATGTAAGCATGCTAATGTTTGTAAGCATTACGTCATGCAGCTTGCGTACAACAAGCATGTTCTTATATGATTGTTGGATGTGAGAAAGACTTTTCGAGTCATAGAACAAATTTTGCCAGGAAAACAGTAATTGCAACCTGTTCACTCCACCCCCACCCCCCATACATAATACCATTTATTTTTTAATTTTTTTAATTTTATTTCTTTTTACTATCTTTGGGAAAGCTAGGAAAATGACATAGGAAAGCACAGGGGTGAAAGCAGGAGTTGGAAGCTACCAAGTCCTGCTCTTATGTAGGTATTTAACCTAAATGGGTTATCATTCAGAAATTGAGTTGATTTATAGTAAACTGCAGGAACATAACTCATAAACTTTAAGTAGGAAAACCAGAAACTCAGTTTCAGCTTTGGGGGCTTGGTTAGTCAGTGATTGTCAGTGATAAGGAGACATGGTCAATTATTGCAAAGCATCCCCACACTTACTGACTCAACATGAGTTTGAGATGTAAAACATTTTGGCTAGGGGTTGGCAGTTATTGGGAAAGGAAATATGCATTTCTTAGGTTGATTTTTGTTATAGTTTATTAACGGTGTACTGGCTTTCCGGCTAGGTGTTTTCTAAGTAAGGTAAAGGTAATAAGCTCTGGATTTTTTTCCATCGTGTAGATTCAGTTTTATATTACTTGGTCATTTTTGCCAAGAAGCAATGGGACGTTTAATAATATGTTCGAAGCTCACTCATGTAACTCTTGAAGGGTATCTGATATCTGATTATGTTTTATGAACTTAGCGGAGAAAGGTGGAGAAAATATTTACCAAACTCTCGAACTTCACATATGTAAGAGGATAGAGAATGACTTTCTATTTTGATTTTTTTTTGTAGACCTCTAATTTAGTGAGTATGTATTACTTTTCTCTGCTTTAGTGAGTATCTATTACTTTTTTAATTTAGAAGAAAAGAAAGAAAAATGGAATTTACTTAAAATCTATGTAGTTATTTAAAACTTAATTTTTAAAAAAATTTTTACACCTAGGTAGTAACTACAAGAATTGAATTGAATTCTAGCATTCCCCTAGAATCACCATTTATTAACATTTTTCAATATTTGCTTTCTCTTTATATATTATATTAATTTATACGTATTCATACGTTTTTGTTTAGAGATTTATTTATTTTGAGAGAGATTGAGAGAGAGAGAGAGGCAGAGGGAAGAGGGCAGAAGGAGAGAATCTTCAAGCAGACTCCCTGCTGAGTGTGGAGCCTGATGCAGGACACAATCTCATGACCCTGAGATCATGATCTGAGCTGAGACCAAGAGTTGGATGCTTAACCGACTGGAGCCACCCAGGCACCCCTGTATTCATACATATTTTATTGAACCATGAGATAAATTGCAGATACTAGGTACATCTATCCCTAAACACTTCAGAATCTCCTGAGACTGCAACTGTAATACAACTCTCCAATCAGAAAATTTAATACTAATGCAATAATATTACCTATCCTACAGTCTGTATTCAAATTTTGTTGATTGTCCCAATAACGACTTTTTATGGCAGTTTTTTTCAACCCAGGATCAATCAGAATCACATATTGCGCTTAATTGGTGTATCTATTTAGTCTGCTTTAATTGAGCAGTTTCTCTGCTTTTCTTTGTCTTTTAAACTTTGACATTTTTGAAGAGTACAGGACAGTTGTGTAGAATGTCCCTCATTTTGGGTTTATCCGATTTTCCCTTCCTCTTGCCTAGTTTAAGGTTATGTAGTTTTGGTAGGAATACTTCAGAGATCATAAGCCCTTGGCATATTTTAATGGGAGACTACGATGTCCGTTTGTCTCGTTATTGGTGATACTAATTTTGAACCCTCGACTAAGGGGTTCGCCCAATTTCTCTACAGTAAAAATACCTTTTTTCTCCCCTTTGTACTTAATAATTAAGCTGTTGGAAGATACTTTGAGGCTATGTAAATCTCCTCTCTCAACAGAAGTTACTCAATGTTTTAAGCGTCCGTTGGCGATTCTTGTTTGAATCGGGTATTCTATGACAGTTACTGTGTAGACAGCAAAAAGGTCTAGCATAAATGAGAGCCTTCCTTTCTTCACTTATTTATTCACCTGTTCATTCATTTATTGTTTCATTGTAGACTTATGGATTCTTTTTCAAATTCAAATGTTATATTACATTGTTACTCACTTTCATGCTGAAAATGTCCCGATGCAAGAGTCCCTTCAAGTTAGTTCCTGTGTCCTTTTTTTTTTTTAAAGATTTTATTTATTTATTCATGAGAGACAGAGAGAGAGAGAGGGAGAAGCAGGCTCCCAAGGAGCAGGGAGCCCGATGCGGGACTCGATCCCAGGACCCTGGGATCATGACCTGAGCCGAAGGCAGACACTTAACCATCTGAGCCACCCAGGTGCCCATAGTTCCTGTGTCCTTTTGATGTCTCCATCACTTTTTAGCATTTTCTTCCTGGCACAAGAAGATGTTCCAGGCTGATCTAGTTCCTTCCTGATTCCAGGAATCAGCCATTTCTTCAAGAAGCCCTGGTTCCTGGGGCGCCTGGGTGGCTCAGTCGTTAAGCGTCTGCCTTTGGCTCAGGTCATGATCCCAGGGTCCTGGGATCGAACCCTGCATCGGGCTCCCTGCTTGTTGGGAAGCCTACTTCTTCCTCTCCCACTCCCCCTGCTTCTGTTCCCTCTCTCGCTGTGTCTCTCTCTGTCAAATAAATAAATAAAATCTTAAAAAAAAAAAAAAACCCTGGTTCCAGGTACTTGATTTGGGACTATAATATTTAGAAACCAAGATTTGGATACTAGTTTTGTTTATTGTAGACTTACTTTTTAAAAAGAGCCTTTGGGGGTGCCTGGGTGGCACAGTTGGTTAAGCATCCGACTCTCGGTTTCTGCTCAGGTCATGATCTCAGGGTTGTGAGATGGAGCCCCACATTGGGCTCTACGTTCAGTGCGGAGTCTGCTTAAGATTCTCTCTGCCTCTCCCTCTGCCCCTCCTCACCCCACACTGTCTCTCTCTTTCTCTCTCTCTCAGATAAATAAATAAATCTTAGAAAAACAATGAAAAAGAGCCTTTGTTCTTTGGGAGAAAGAATGGTTATAGATAAATTTTACTTCTGGAGGCATTTAATTTAAACATTAATATCACATGTATGGCTAGTTATGATCTGTGATATGCTCCTGTTAGGGATGTAAATTCTTGGAAAGAGATTAGCAAAACGTATCAAAAATCTTAAAATATTTACTCTCTTTGAGCCAGAAATTTTACTTCTATGACTTTATCCTAAGGAAGTAATCAGAGATGTGCAGAAAGATGGAGGTAATGGCTGCTCATCTCAGAGGGATAATGGCGAAGAACTGGAAACAACTCAAGTGTTCTATAACAAATTATCTTATAAATTATGCTACTTCTCAAACACACACACAAACGCAAAAATGGGAGGTGATAGATGTGTTACTTCCATTGTGGATCCTTTCACAGTATATACATATAGTAAAATCATCATGGTTTATACTTTTAAAATATT